GAGTTACTGATACGTCATCAGGAACGCCCCTCTGAAGTCTGAATTCCAACTTTGACACTCGTTTAAAATACAAAATACAAAAAAGTGGGGAGCAGGTGGGGCAGTGGTTAGTGCGCGTGTCCCATGTATAGAGGCCATGGTCCTCCAAGCGGGCGGACCAGGCTCGATTCCGAACCTGTGGCTTCTTTCCCGCATGTCATACCCTACTCTCTCTCTTCTTGATTTCCACCAGGACCAGGCTTTCACCTCATGAGTGCTTGTTTACTGCAGATCCTTTCAGTATTTTAAATAATAGAGGATTTAACTTTAATTTAATCCACATTTCAACATCTTTTTTTAACAAAATAATCATGAAAAAAAATCACAAGCAGTATAAAAGAAAATACAGAATGTTTAACCTGCAATCAGATGAGACCTGTCAGCATGCAATAATATCAAGGACTGTATCAGCAAGAAGATTTACTTATCACACACACACACACACACACACACACACACACACACACACACACACACACACACATACACGGAATGATCTGATCTTCCACAAGTTATTGAAACATATGTTTATTTATTTACAGAGTTTAAGCTTCAGATCATCTTCAAATTAAACATTAAATCATTTTATAACAACCTCTGCCGTCTTTTAACCCTGCGACCTCTTGAACAGTTTGAGGCTGCACCAAGCGGTATCCTCTGGTGTTAAAAAATGAAGCTGATGCTGAAGTATAAAATCCTGCAGTTCCTGGAGTGTCCACTAGAGGCTGGCTGCAGGAACACAGGAAGTCACATACACACCCATTCTAAAAAGCCTGTTTTTACAGCAGAGATGAACATGTTTACAGCCTGGTTCAAAAAACCAAATAGGTGTGATTAGCTCATGTCTGGATGGACACACACTGTACGGGGGGTGAATGTTTTGATGACTCATCAGTTTTGATTTGATGAAGGATAAGAGTTATTCACAATAAGGCGTGTAGCTGACCTGATTGACAGGTGGGCGCGGTGTAACGGTTTGTCAGGAGGTTTAAAACCCGCCTCAGCTCCAGCTCTCAGCCTGTCGTTAGGTTGACTGAAAGTTAGACTGAGACAGCATTTCCAGCATGGAGACCGCCATCGATGGGACTCCAGCGCCCCCTGCAGGAACAGACGGGTGACATCCCTCCGTGCTTTGTGAAGTAATATTTACAGTCTATGTAATGTACACTGAAGACAAACAAGTAAAAACACTGTAAAAAACAATCTAAACAGCGTCTCTCGACCTCCTGCAACCCAGCACAGGACGTGTGGGAGTAGAGAACAAATAAGAAGGTGCAACCCCTAATTAAGAGTACATTCATCTATTTGGATCTACCACAGAAAATACTCTGCTGTCTACTTTTAGGAAGAAGTGTGTCTTTAAAATGTTGCAGCACATTGTGAATCAGAATGCTTTATAAAATGTTGAGAACAATCAAACAGGCCATTACACCCTTTGAATCTTAAGACGACTGTTATGTAGACCATGCAGAACTAAGTGCTAAAAAGCAGACCCTATTGAATCACTGATCCATCTCAAAAGCCTTCACAGCGGCGTAGATCCTCTCTTTCTCCGCTGCTTTTGCTCCTTTCTTTGATTTCATCACGGTAAAGACGACGGCAGAATAAACCTGATCTCTCTGTAACAACACAGTGAAGGAGATGAGAACAATCAACATGAATATAAAGTCAGAACAGTAGTTTTATAAACTTTAATCTTACCTTTAAACTCTCCAACATCTGTCTTCTCCAAACATCACAGTTTTCTCCCAAAGCATCAGATGCTGAAATTAGGAGAGAGACAAAAAAAAGATTAGGAAACATTTGAATCAAACATTATTTTATCAAAATGAAACAAGAGTAATCTTTATTACCGTTGTTGTTTGTCTTGATGGCATGAATAAGGAAGGCTATAACGATGAGCGTGAGGGCCAAGGCAGCACAGAGCAGAAAAGTAACTGTGGTTTCCTTCAGTGAAAACTTCCCTGAAACAGAATTAGAAGAAAACGTCCTGATTACAAGATTTTAAAATTAAATTGTTAAATGCAATTTATCCATGAAGCCATAATTAGGCACTTGAATCTGTTTTACTGATACTGTTATCTTCAACGTCCACTTTGGTCCCATCTCCAAATAAAAGGCGTCCACATGTGTCCACAGCACAGTAGTAAGTCCCAGCATCAGAGGAGCTGATGTTCTTAGAGAAGTGATGAACACAGCTTTTCTGAGAGGCAGATCTCTCCTCACATCCATCACGTCTGTTTCCAGCAGTGTAGATGATGTCTGGACGAGATTCATGTGATCCGGCTCTGAACCACAACACGCTGTGACCTCCGGGACACGTTTTACTGTCCGGGTCAGAGAGGACTGAACACTGCAGAGACATCAAGTCTCCTGGACGGAGCTGATCAGAGACTGTCGGCTCCTGAACGACTCTCAGCTCTGTTGTCCTCTCAGTGTTTCCTGCATGAAACCAACAGACCAGGAGGTCAAAACAGAAAAACGTTGTTTCATGTAGAAAAAAAAAGGTCTGCTCTGATGGCATAGAGCTGACTTTATACCAGAATATTTTCAAATCTGATCTAATTATAAAAAAGCTGAGAGACCACAGACATGAGGACAGTCTCGACTCATTTTTCATTTCATAATCCTCTGACACACGAGACGATTCAGCGAGACCATGAGACCACACACCTGCTGTTTGAAGTAATAAAGTAACGGAAACAACAAGCCTCGAATTGGGCCTCTGCCTTTACGCTTCATTTCAGCTGCTGTCTCTTTAAGGTCCCCCTCCCCAAGTGCCCACTCTCTTCTGATTGGCCAGCTCTCTATAAGACTTCTAGGGGCAGAACACTGCAGGGCTGCAAGGGGAGGGCTGTTCTCCATTGCTTGGAGAAGAGAGTAAATGTAAGAGGTTTCAGCGGCTTATGTAGATGCTTGATCTGAAACTTTACCCATGTTTACTTTGGGCATCCAGCATTGTAACACTAATGTGAGTTTAAAATGAGGATCAGCAGAAAAGGTTGACTGTACTCAAACTCGGCAGATTGGCACTGAAATGGAGTAAATGTGGAGCTGGTTTATCCGAGTTATGACCACTCGAACATCGATGGAACTCCAGTTAAGACAAATGAGTATATTTCACATACAGAATGGTTTTAACAAACTATAAAAATATTGTAAAGCTACATTTAGCACATTTATTATCTCTCTGCTGATCCTGTCATGTGCACATTGTTAGTATTCTCAAATCAGGTTTTGTGTTATTAAAGGGTTAAAGTTCGGAAACTGGATTTCATATTTGATATTTATGAACAGGGCTGCAGCTGCTGAAGGTGATATTGGATGTCAATATAAGATAATTAGGGGCAGATTTTTTTCTATAGCACAGATTTAGATCAGCGTCTTCTGAACGTGTAAAACGTGTAAAAATATATCACATGGTTACCTTTGACGACCAAATAAGTTCCGCTCCATTCAGTTTTGCTGATCCACTCAGTGACCGCACAGTGATACATTCCCTCGTCCTCTTCACTCGTTCTCAGGATGGTCAGGTTGTTGGAGTCGTGGTCATATTTGACCTCAAATCTTGACTCTGAGAACTCTGGTGAGAAGATGGGTTTTATAGCTTTCCGCACAGTCACCATTAACGTCAGAGTATCCCCGTTGCTCTGCTTGTACCAGCTCAGTTCTCGTGGCTGATCTCGATTTTGGGCAGAGCACATTTTAAGGTCGCAGGTTCACCGAGTTGAACCGTGGTCACTGGAACATGTGTGCCTGGATGAATCAAAACACATAGAATTAAATGCAGAGAACGATGTGTATTCTTGCTGATGGTTCCAGTTGGCGTGCTGAGAATGAGAAAACGATTACTTACATCCTCGCTGAAAAAGAAGCAGAGTAACCCAAAACAGCTTCATCTTGACTCGGTCTCTTCTTTGATAATGTGTTGGTTCATCAGCAAGTGAAGGAAATGAAGCTCATGTGTCAAACCAGTCAAATGGATCTGATTGGTTACCACAGAATACATACAAAAAGTGAACATCCTGTCATGTAGGTGTCAGCCTGGTCTTGGCGAAGCATATTACAGCTCTTACATCATTTTTAGCCAAAGACGAGCGATTGTGACCTTTGCACACTTTCCTTCCCTTGGTGATTGCTTCTTCCTTTGAAGCAGCAGTTGCTGTTTCCAGTTCTCATCTGTGATACTTCACATCTTTTACATATTGGAAGATAAACAGGGTGGCTTATTTAAAGAACAGGATTCTTAAATCGTTATCCTTCAGAGGTCTTAAAAGTCAGGCTGAACTAATGCTCCCTTTTAGACTGACCTTACATGAACCAGAGCTAATGAGCATTTGCATTTGGTGCGCTCCCTGCATAGCAGTGTGTCTGACATCTCTCCACTAGTGCATGTCCACAGGTCCTGTTTGTGCATGTGTGTCATTTAGGCCTATGTTTGTCTCTCAATAACAGAGTGTAAACACCAGAATTTACCTCAGGGAAGAATAAAGTATATATCTTCAAATTCAAACTTTTCATCCACAAGGCCCAGTTGTTTAAAGCAACAATATGTAGGAAATTAGTTGGTCCATTTTGGCACCGACCAAAGGTCGTTAACTGCACATAGTGCTGTTAAACGCACAGTATGTAAAATCCGCCACCAGGGGGCTCTCAATCAAAACAATAAGAAAAGATAATGTCGAAGCCGGCGGGGAATCATGGGAATGATTCTCTCTGCTACTCCCCCTTCCCCTCCCCCCTGGTGAAAATGAACTCTGTGTTGATCGTAGTAAACCGACCTGAAAAAGAGAATATGTTTTTCCAATGATGTATCTGAGTTTAATTTACATGACGTTTTTATCACTGCAGCACATACAGCAACAGTACGACAGCTTTCAGTAGCAGCTCCCGCTAGCTTATGCAGCGTCTTTGGCGTAACATCTGGTGTTTCCTTGACAACGATAAACATTTCGTGTCTGTCATGGCGGTCGCCTAAAAGACACGGACCATGTCAACTATAAAATTACAGATTCCCTGGCTTTGATAACTTTTGGAAAAATTTGAGGTAATGCAAGTACTCAACAATAAAATGTATATAACATGGGTTTAGTTAATCTTTAATTAATCAACATATTTTAATGTAAACATTTGTGACAAATATGTGTAGACGTGGGCGATGGAAGAAGGTAACATATTAACACTTAGTATTAACCTCTGTGAACACATCTCAGTGAAACAAGCTGTCATGGACACGAGCTCTCTATGCTGTGGGTCTATTGCTGAAAACAAAACAGATATTTTGAATCATTGGGTTTCATTTTCCCAACAAAAATGTAAATGAATGCAGTAAAACACGTCTTTAAGTTATTCAAAAAGGAAGCCTATTCTCATCTTTCTCCTGCAAATCAAATATTCCCCCCAAAGAGCGCGGACAAAAAACGGCACAAGCAGTCCATAGCGAAGTCGTAAATAGTTTTTTTAGAGTTTCATTTCCCCTCGACAATCCTGACGTGGGCATAGATGCTCTCTTTCTCCTCGTTTGTACATCTCTTGTTCGTGCTCTGCCAGATTTCCTGCTCGTGAAGGTTGGTGCGGAATAAATCAACGAGTCCTCATCCACCTTAAATAATTAAAAAGAGGATTGTTAGGGGATAGCAGCGTTGACAATTTACATGACATCTTCTCTCGGCTTTACTTACCTGCTGATTCTGCTGATCACCACTGGCTGTTTCTGCTCGTCCCTGCAGAGCGACGTCAGCTGTATCATGAAATAAAAACACAGACTGAGTTTCGTCTTTAATCGTTTAATTGATTGATGTACTAGGGACTCTGCTTACCATTGCAACAACCACAAGATGCATTCTTGAGCTTTCTTATCGAATAAATAAGAAAGGCGATAATTATGAGGCATATAGCCAAAGCAGCACTTAACAGGAGGAGGAACAGGTGGTCTGTCTTTGAGTCCTCCTTCACTGCTGGAACAAAAATAAGCAAAAGAATCAAAGTAAGTAATCAGTGATTAAGACTCATGTAAAGGGGACATGCTGTGAAAAATTCACTTGTTCAGTGTTTTTGAACATATATTTGGGTAACCTGAGAGTCTACTGACCCACAACATGTGAAATAAACCCATCCAGTCCTTTGTTTGTGGTCTGCATAAGTCTTACAACACAGAGAAAAATGCTCTGTTTCTAATGTGCTCTCCTTGTGATGTCACAGTGGGATTGTGATAAAAAAAATAACCTCCAATCCGCTGGTATCTCCACCCATGGACTCCACCCCCAGACTAGAACAAAACTTTTGAGCAGGTCCGCACATTTTTATTCTCTCTACAGAGGAGTGATGACTACTGGGAAAACTCAGGGGGGCTCATTGCATTTAAAGAGACACACACACCAAAACGGAGCGTTCTGAGAGAGCTGGTTTATACAGGGTCACAAACCTCCTCTGGTGCTTGATTCATGTTATATTTTAAAGATTTATATTTGGGCTTTTTGTGCCTTTAATGCAGAGATAGGACAGTGGATAGAGTCGGAAACCAGGGAGAGAGAGCGGGGAATGACATGCGGAGAGAGGCCATGGGTGGACCCGGGCCTCCCACTCAAGACGAGAGTCTCAATACATGGGACGCGTGCCCTAACCACTGCACCGCCAGCGCGCCCCAGATTCATGTTATATTTTGACCAAAGCACAGCACAGATGTTTCATTTAGACCACAGGGGGACTGTTTGAAAAGGTAGTAAAGGGGAAATGTCCTCTTGTCCACAAGGTTCAATCTCGGGCCCCATGCTTTTCACTGTGTATATGAGCGATATTGTTTCTTCTTTGAATGGTTGTCATGCCCATCTCTATGCAGACGACACTATTTGTATTGTATGCAGATTCTGAACAATTAGCGTTCCATGTGAACACTTGTCTCCGAGTTGCGACAAAATGTCGGCTTTCTATTCAGAAACAAATGAAGACTGTGGCGTGCACACAGTATGTGGAAATTGGGAGTTATAGACATACTGCAGCCTCAACTCAACACCCTCTGGACGCCGTCTATCAAAGACTTCAGTTGCCTTTGGATCAAGCTTTAAACATTGCAGTTTAAAGCCCCGTCCCTTTAACTAGCCTGCTGTAGCTGCATGTTTTGACAAATGAAGCCAGGTCTCAATTACAGGCCCTCATGCATTTAGTGTTGATCAGTTAGTGGATACAAAATCAGGAGAAAATAAAGATTAACTTAAACCTGTGCTCGTGTGCATACCAGCCATGCCATCTTAAAAACCAAAAGAAAATTCTTCATTAGTAACTTAATTTGTTTATTGATATCCACAATATTCTTTTTGGTTGCTATTTACAATTTTTTTTGTATTTTCCATCTTCTGTGCAGGAGAGTTTGTTTGAAAAAGAATTAAATAATAATAGCTAACTTGTTTTATTTCTTGAAAGATTTCTTTCTGGGCCCCTTGTGCCCCTTAATGTAGAGACAGGACAGTTGAAAAGAAAAGAGAAAGAGAAAGGGAAACGACATGTGGGAAAGGAGTCTCAGGTCTGACCCGAACCCAGTGTGCTGTCCGAAGGCCCACAGCCCAACACATGGGGGGACGCACACCATCCACTCCACCACCAGCACCCCCCAGCAGCCGTTATTACGCAGAACAAGTCGAAGGATATCTCTGTATGATGCTTTTCTTCTTTGCTGCTTGATGTGGTTGTTGTAATTTCATGAAGATCTTGTATGGAGGGACAGAGATAGCATGCTGGAAGCTGATGTCATGCTTTTTAATGCTTCATTTATTTATCAAATTATTATATATTTGTTGGGTTAGGGTTACGGGTTACACTGTTTTACAATCAGTAACTTTTACATATAAACTTGTTTATCAAATTGTACGATTAGAAACTGCACTTTATGCACTGCTGCACTTTTACCAATGTACCTTGCATTTGCACTTTGCATTTGTTTTATGTATCATCTGTGTTTTATGAAGTATATGTGATTCTCACTGCAACCTAAGTGGTACCAATAAAGTCAGTGAACCTGAACCTAAAGGCTCGTCTTAGTTGGACGACTGTCCAAAATAAGGCTTATTTCATAGACTAAGGTAAATACAAGTCAGGGCACTGAACTCATCATTTCAAACACCAAGGAAACATTTACCTTGTTTGGCCGAGTCTGATCTGTTTCCAGAAGTTTTCTCCTCACACGTGTCCACAGCAAAGAAGTAAGTCCCCTCACCAGAACAGCTGAAGTTCTGAGTGACACTGCAAATACATTTCTTTATCGAGACTCCAGCCGGGTTCCTTTCACTTCCTTTAACACTGTTCTCTGGAGTGAAATTCCATCTTGGATGAGACTGATGTGATCCGGCTCTGAAGCAGCACGCACTGTGTTCTCCTGGACAGGTTTGCTTCTTCTCTGAGTCTCCCGGACCGACCGGATCAGGAGGACGGACTGCAGCGTCTCCAGGTTGTGCTGCTGGGAGATTCAAATCTGATTTTTAAATTAATTCTGTCAACTCTCAACACAATCTTTTACAAATAGCTAAATTAGTGTAAATTATAATTAGCTCACCTTTAACTGTCAGGTTTGTTCCTGTCAGAAAAGTCAAGTTTCGTTGATTTGTTCTCATACAATAATAAAATCCTGTATCCCTCAGCTCTGCTTTTCTCATACGCAGAATAAATTCTCCTCCCTTATCTCGTTGTTCCATAGTTGTAATGCGTGAATTCTTCACATCCAAGCCATTTGCTTTTCCTAAGTATTCAGGAAAGTTTCCAGAACCGAGGCGGATCCAGAAATAGCTTCCTGTAGAGTCAAGCTTACACTTCATTTCAACCTCGTCTCCGACTGCAGCAGTCTTTTCATCAAAGGACGGATGATTCATGCATCCTGAAAAGACATTCTGTCACATAAATATAAGAGATGACAGACTTGTGCATGCTCTCTTCTTCAACGTTAAACTTTAGTTCTTTACATGTGTAGGAATATTTGAGAGTACACTTACGTCCCGCTCTGAGCATCATCAGCACATTAAGCACAAACAGCATTTTCTGGTGAATCCACTCGGCTGATGTTTTGACTGCGAGGTAAAATGATTCACTGTAATTAAATCATTGCATGTGGGAGGGATCAGTGTCAGAGCAACGTGATTGGCTTGTGATTATGCTACTGTGTGCCACAACAGTGGAAATGTTGAGTCTTTCCAACCTAAACACATGAAACAAACCAGCGAGAGCTTTGGTTTCATGGAGGGTTTCAGACGCTGAAAACACGAGAGATGAATAAATGTGATGTTAAGGTTGCCTACAGAGCATCTTTGACTTTGCACTGTTGACCAAGCTGATGTTTTTATGGTGAAGCTCTCTGGGACACAAACATAAACCCTTAATGAGATGTTATTTCACCTTGTTTGGATCATATATCAAGAGAATTTACTTTCACATTAAGGGTGAGGAAAAAGACAACATGGAACAAAACATCACATTATATGTTGAACCCTTTTTTTTTTCATTAATTGCATGTTGATACATCAGGTTAAGGTCTGCTAACCTCAACTCTGTGGTTTAGCGCAGGAAGTGATGGAAAGATAAAAAACATTGATTAAAGTTTCACTTCGACTTCATACAACAGCTTCATATGGATGCAGAGGACGAGAAAGTGAACCTCTGTTTCTATTTGTTCAAATTTACAGTTTTTAAACATTCTCTCTCATCTAGGTTTTCCAACTCTTATGACGGCCTGTTTGAATTTCTAGTCTATGATCACTGAGACTGTACCTTGTTCACGTGTCCTGTTTGGGATTTTTAACACTTTTAACATTCTAACTTAACAATGGATTTGATTTCCTTGTCAATAGTTTAATTTGTGTGACGGACATCCTCATCTGTGAGTGTTGGGGCTCGCATGTTTTTAAATAGTTCATGTTTTTTATGCTCCACAACAGAGCTCCTCCTCCTCTCCTGTGCTTCCAGGAGGTCACCATCCTTTTTTCATGTTTACCATTATTGTATGCATAGAAGTGTTTGCATCTTGTGTGTTGTTTCTGTGTGATTTGACTATATAACAATTGATTGATTGATTGACTATTTTACAGATCATATTACTGCCTGTCGCTATCTGTAAATCTTTGTTACCAACCACATATGTTCCTGGGAGCTCCTGAGCTCAGAGGTCTTGTAGGTTCCTTGGGTTTGTTGGTGAGGACGGCCTGCTGCTGTGGTTAAAATTGGTAAGCTTGAATCCGCATATTATGCTTTGCTGCTTGACTGCAGATCATCAAGACTGGATGGACAGACTAAGTCAGTGGTTCTCAAAATGTTTGTCTCATGCCCTCATTGGAGGAAGAAAATTACAACATTTTAAATGAGAATAATAATAAGAAGAAGATATCCTAAGGTGGCTCAGTGGCTTGTTCAGTGGTACTTCAGCAGTGCTACGGAAGTGAATGACCTGGCACCTCATCAGCTACCAGACCGAGGGACTGAATTCAGGAGAATCTGAGAGTTACCTGATGATACATTGATAATAGACATGAACATGAGACCTTGTGAGGCAACATAATGCAGTCTGGTTCATCACTATAAAAACCTCCTTACAGAAAGGAAATAAGCGAGCTGTCCAAAGGGTTCTTAAATGTGCAGTAATTAAAACCAAGACCAATGCATCATGGTTTGTGGTGTTACCAGGCTCATCATGTCTAGTATTCTCACTTATTTCCTTTGTGTGCAGAGCTGTGCATGCAAACACTTAGACAGAAACAGACATTTAAAGTCAGCGCTGAAAAAACAAATGACACATGGAAACTTAAGCACTGCTGTGGTCAGGCATCAAACAGAGGTGTTAACACAGAGGGGCTTTACTTGTTCTCTCACTCTCAGTTTGAGGCCTGTCAACATCGACCTGCTCTAAAGTGTTAGTGTTTTAAAAGGGCAAGAGGGATGACATCACACGTTTTTGTTTTATGAATCTTTAAAATAGAAACTTACTTTAGAAAAAAGACTGATGGAGGGGTGGGGGTGCCTATTGTTGAGATGTTAGACTGTGGTCTTGAATCATGTTTACTCTTAAACTGGAGCAGTGTTTAAGCAGCAGCCTGCACACATTATCAGTGACTGAATCCTCACATACCTTTACATGTATTAAGATGTCTTTAATTGCATCTTTTAAACACAATAAAAACAACATTTTTAAAAGTATGGAGGAGCTGTGCTGCACAATGCATACGTAAGAACCAATGTAATTATAAGGAATACGGCATAATACAGAAAGAAAACTGCACTGCTAATGAGCAAATGACCAAACACACCTGAAATGATCCTGCTGAAGGCTAGTATTTCTCTCCCTCTGTTCACATCCTGTTGAAGTTCATAGTTAGGCCTGTTCTGAGAAGACAACCTCAAAGGGCGGTCAAATGGCAGAGAAGCAGCCCAACAAACCACCACAGCATATGCGCGTTGCTTGTTGTTTTCACAGCAGATGTGCAGATTAACTTTTCACAATGCTTTTAGACCAGCAGACAAAATGCTTAAATATTTGAGGAGGTATCCTGTAGCTGTTTCAATCATAAATAAATTTTTGTTGTATAGCGTGAATTCATAACAAGTTTTTTATCTCGAGACACTTTACAAAAAGCAGGTAAAAGCCCTTACTCTTTGCTATATTACAAAGACCCAGTGTTAATCCATCATGAGCATAGCACTTAGCAACATTTAGCAAAGTTACAGTGGCAAGAAAAAACGTTGTTTTCCTCATGATGAACAGCCATCTACTGAAACTTGAGGCAGGCTGTCCACCAACGATCCAGAGGACACTGGAACATGAGAGCTCAGGAAAATATGTGCTTAGTAACTAAGATTAACAGATAGCGACATTCAGTAATGTGATCTGAATGCACAGAGAGAGAGAGAGAGAGAGGGAGAGATAAGAGCTCAAGATGCCAGTTCCCCAGGTAGTCTAAGCCTATAGCAGCATAACTACGAGCTCATCTATACCTGCGCCAGCCCTTACTATAAGATTTATCAAACAGAATGTTTTAAGTCTAGTCTTAATGTATATGTATGTAGTGCTGTTTCTGTCATTATTGTGGCATAGTGCATATCCATAGGATCTGTATGTGCATGTGTGTGTATA